CAAGGGCAGCAGCCAGGGCTCGGGCACTGCTGCTGCGGAGGGTGGGAAGCGGGGAGTTGTGGACCTGGGTCCCTGGCCCAATAGCCCTGGCAGCTAAGGGCCCTCTCTGGCAGGGCTGTGGGGGCAGGGGGCTGTGGGTGGGGAGTGAGGGACAACGACATGGGCAGGTGTCGCAGAGCTCTCAGGTGCCCTGCGACTGAGAGCAGAAACAGCTCAGGAGAGACCCCTTGTGGTGGGAAGGCGGAAGCTCCGCTGCCAGTCACCAGGACTGCACAGGTGCTGGTTGCCGTAGCAACCAGGGAAACCTAGAGACAGGAAGGGGCGGAGCTTAGCTCTTCTTAACCCCAGGCAGAAGGCCAGGAGGGCAGTTTTCCCTCCGGCGGCTGAGGGAGGAGGAACTCAGCCAGCACAAAGGGGAGAACTCTGACGGTGGGAACATTCCCTGGTTCCTGCTGGAGGTTGATGCGTTCTCTCTCTTTCTGGTAGGGATGGATTCTTATTTTGACCAGGATGGTCTAGCTTTTATGTTGTAGCCCAGGGGCTTTGTGTTCTTGTGTTTATTGTTTTACCGGAGGACCGGGTGAGGCTATTAGGGGTTGGAGGAGGCCTCATAGGGACTCCACAGTAGCGTGGAGAGGTGCCAGAGAGGGTGCAGTATTGTTTGGGGTACGTGGGCCCCAGCCCCAGAGTTAGGAGGCAGGGAGGAGCCCTGGAGTTAGTGGGCAGTGAGAAGCCCCAGAGCCAAGGGGGGGCAGTGAGGAGCCCCGACTGAAGGGGGTAGCGAGGAGCCCCGGAGCTGGCACTGGCGAGAAGTCCTGGAACAGGCAGTGTGGGACAAGCTAGAAGGGGCGCGGGCTGTGAGACGAGCTAGAGGGTGCCGGCAAGGGTGCAGGCTGAGGGACAAGCCAGAGAGCGGCCGCGTGGCACAGAGAGAGGAAGACAGACCTGAACAACACCAGATACATCTGCGAAGCTTGGGCTGCGGTGTAAGGGGAGGAAAGGAGCCGCAGATAGTGCCTCAGGCACTGAGACAGAAAATAGGCAGCCTCCCACTTGATTAAGATCTTCCAATCAAGCAGATAACAACAAGGCATGGCAGGCGAGAAGGCGGGTGGTTGGCCCTTGGTCGGTGTTGCGGGACCACTAATAGACGGCCCCAAAGAGGCACAACTGTCACAGCAGGGCATATCAGGGCTGCTCTGTGCCACAAAGCAGTGTTGTGGGGAGGACAGCTGTAGTTGGACTCGTGTCCTGGTGAGCAAAGGGGGCAGGGGGAGCTCTGATTTTCCATGATAAGAAACCCAAAATCAAACACCAAAATTTGTAACTATTTAGAATTTATTTTATTACAGTGATTGATGCACTGTTGGCTTCCAAATTGCTTTAAAATTGTAAATATATTAATAAAACATTGTGTTCAACTGATACCAATACATACATACATACATACATACATACAGTAGTGTTTCATTTTAATCACAGAAAAACACGGATTTGGGGTTTTTTAAATCAGAAAATGTGTATATGCGGGGGGTTAATCAAAAAATTTGCAGTTTTTAAACAGAGAAAACCAGGTTCCCTGATTATTAGGGATTAAAAGCTGGAGTACTGCGTCCAGTTCTGTGCGCCCCATTTCAGGAGGGATGTGGACAACATTGAAAGGGTCCAGAGGAGGGCCACCCGCATGATCCAGGGACTACAGGGCAGACCCTACATTGAAAGACTGTGGAACCTAAACCTGTTCAGCCTTCACAAGAGAAGGCTGAGGGGGGACCTTGTGACTGTCTATAAACTCACTAGGGGGGACCAGAAGGGTTTGGGGGAGACACTGTTTCCCCTAGCGCCCCCTGGCATGACAAGGAATAATGGACACAAATTACTAGAGAGTAGGTTTAGGTTAGACATCCGCAAGAACTACTTCACAGTTAGGGTGGCTAGGAGCTGGAACCAACTTCCTAGGGAAGTGGTGCTGGCTCCTACCCTGGAGATCTTTAAGAAGAGGCTTGATGACTACCTGGCTGACTCATTTGAGTCCAGTCTTTTCTCCTGCCCAGGCAGGGAGTCGGACTTCAAGATCTACAAGGTCCCTTCTGACCCTACTTCTATGATTCTATGAGTATTTGACTTTTCCCCAAATTAAAGATAAAATGAATCACAAGGAAAATTAATGTATTGCTAAAACTCAGGGGGAAAAAATCAAGTAAACACTGTGAGGAGGACTCAGATCTTTGATTCCCAGTCCTGTAATTATCAGCTCTCTACTGGGATTATTTATCCACTGGCAAAAGACCTCACTGAATTCAGAAGACTGTTACTGAATTAAAGTAGAGTTTGAATTGGGTTTAGAATATGTGGGCACCTAACATTCACTATAATTTGAGTTCAAAATAACATTACAGAAATAGGACATAACCAAATAATCTAAACTTGGTCATTCATTATTACTCTTTCCATTCAAACTGCAGTAAAAATTTTTTTTTGCTACATTAAGAATATATAAACAGTTCAGCTACAGAGGATTTTTCTTTAAAATTCCCTTAATTATTCTGTATATTTAGTATACGTACTTAATATAGCATACACACTTACTGAAAGCACATATTCTTTAAGTTTCTGGTGTGGAAGTTCCATGCCTTGCCACATAACTCTTCAGTCATCTAAATATACAGAAATATGAAATTAATACATACATTTAAAAATTAAAATCAGACCAAAATATATAACCTAACAATTCTATTCTCCATGTTGATCACTGAAAATTAAAATATGTTTTAAAGAAATGGATGTTCAGTTTTCCAATTATGAAATTTTATATGAATCTCTCTCCATCTCCTTATCCAGTCATTACATTGCAGATAAAAAAATATTCACTGAAAAAAGAGAGAACTATATTATATCTGAACTAAACTATTTAACTTAGATAAAATCCCTCCTAAAGCTGAAATATTTTTTCTGATAGTACCTTTCCAGCAATTAAATAGATCTATTATATTTTGAATTCTCTTGTAGTTCATAGGCAAGTTGATTAAATTCTAATGCATATGACTAACATATATATTTTTTATATAATCCTGTTTATACTTTAAATACTTTATTTACTTAAATGCAAGGCAAGGTGTTCCACCCTCCCTCCCCCAATCAGCATGGGGAAAAAAGCCCTTTGTCTTACATTTGCATACAAGGAAACCACATTAAACTACATAGATGCATTGTCTATCCTTGAACTGCTGCTAAAAGCAGCATATGATCAGTAATGGAAACCAGCTATGATGTAGATTAAATGCAGCCAACACTGAGCATAAGTATAAAATGTATGGTCCATATTAGACAAACTTGATGATGGGAACCTACCACAAGGATAGGTTAGTGCAGCCAATCTAAATAAGATATACGGTAGTGCCCATTGAGCATAGTCCACTTCAGCAGTTACTCTATAGAATCTAACTATTGGAGGTTTGTCTTGAATTTGTCCCCTTCCCCATTACAGCAGGGAAAAAGAATCTGGGTGGTCTTTGTCCCCCAGCCTCCAAATTCTTTCCCCTACAGACCCTTTCCCTCTGCCCTGTCAGACTCTGTTCTCCCTGAGCACATGGAAGTGGGGAACAAATTAGAAAAAAATGACCTTGAAATAAACACAGCTGCAAAATTTGCATACAGTACCTATAGATTTAGTTCACCCAGAATTGATGCATTTTACCTTTTTAGAAACTGCTGCAAGTTTTATCAAAGGTTCTCCATAAACATGATTTTATCTATCACTTTGGCACCTACCTATCATAGAATCATAGAAAATTATGGTTGAAAGGGACATCAGGAGGTCATCTAGTCCAACCTCCTGCTCAAAGTAGGACCTTCCCCAATTAGATCAATCCAACCAAGGTTTTGTCTAGCCAGGTCTTAAAAACCTCTAAAGATGGAGATTCCACAACCACTCGGGTTAACCTTCTCCAGTACTTTACTACCCTCCTAGAGAGAGAGTTTTTCCTAATATAGAACCTAAACTTCCCTTGCTGCAACTTGAGACCACTTCTCCTTCTTCTGCCATCTGCCACCACTGAGAACAGTTTCGCTCCATTCTTTTTGGAACTACCCTTCAGGTAGCTGAAGACTGCTATTAAATACCACCTCAATCTTCCCTTCTCCACACTAAATAAGCCCAGTTCCCTCAGCTTCTCTGCAAAAGTCATGTGCCTCAGCCCCCTAACCATTTTTGTCACCCTCCACTGGACTCTCTCCAATTTATCCACATCCCTTCTGTAGCAGGGGGCCCAAAGCTGAACACAGTATTCCAGATGTGGCCTCACCAGTGCTGAACAGAAGAGAAGAATCACTTCCTCAATCTGCTGGCAACACTCCTACTCAGGTAGCCCAATGTGCTGTTAGCCTTCTTTCCAAGAAGAGCACACCATTGGCTCATATTCAGCTTATTGTCCACTGTGACCCCCAGCTCCTTTTCTGCAGAGCTGCTGTTTAGGCAGTCAATCCACACCCTGTACCAGTAAACAGGATTGTTCTGTCCTAAGTGCAGAACTTTGCACTTGTCCTTATTGAACCTCATGACATTTCTTTTGGTCCAATCCTCCACTTTGTCTAGGTCTCTTTGAATCCTAAGCCCTACCCCTCCAGCATATCTACTACTCCCCTCAGCTTGGTATCAGCTACAAAATTGCTAAGGATGTGCTCCATCCCATCATCCAGGTCACTGATGAAAATGTTGAACAAAATCAGCCCCTGGGACACTCCACTTGATACTGGCTGCCAACTAGACATCAAGCCATTGATTACTACCCTTTGAGCCTGTCAATCCAGCCAGTTTTTATCCACTTTATAGTCCATGCATCCAAGTCATATTTCCTTAGCTTGCTTGCAAGAGTATTGTGGGAGACCATATCAAAAGCCTTGCTAAAGTCAAGGTATATCATGTCCACTGTTCTCCCCATATCCACAGAGCTAGTCATCTCATCATAGAAGGCAAACAGGTTGGTCAGGCATGACTTGCCCTTGGTGAATCAATGCTGACTGTTCCTAATCACCTTCTCCTCCAAGTGTTTAGAAATAGATTCCTTGAGGACATACTCCCATGATTTTTCCATGGACTGAGGTGAGGCTGGCTGATGTGTAGTTCCCTAGATCCTCCTTCTTCCCTTTCTTAAACATGGGCACTATAGATTTGGCCTTTTCCGATCATCCAGTATCTCCTGATCTCCAGAAGTTTTCAAAGATAAAGGCCAGTGGTTCTGCAATCACATCTGCCAACTCCCTCAGCACCCTTGGGTGCATGGTGTGCAGCCCCATGGACTTGTACACATCCAGCTTTTCTAAATAGTCACTAACCTGTTCTCACTACTGAGGGCTGCTCACTTCCTCCCCAAACTGTTCAGCCAGTGCAGTAGTCTGGGAACTAAACTTGTCTGTGAAGACTAAGGTAAAAAGGGTATTGAGTACTTCAGCCTTTTCCATATCAAAATCTTTCTCTTGCTGCTGACATGCTTGTAGAAACTCTTCTTGTTACCCTTCACAGCTCTTGTTGCAACTCTGTCCTGATTTCATCCCTGCATGCTGAAGAAATACTTATTCTCCCTAGTCATTCATCCGAGTTTCCATTTCTTGTAAGCTTCCTTTTTATGTTTTAGCTCACTGAAGAGTTGCTTCCTAAGCCAAGCTTGTTGCCTGACATACTTGCTGGTTTTCCTGTGCATCGTAACGGTTTGTTCCTGTGCCCTCAGTAAGGTTTCTTTAAAGTACAGTCAGCTCTCCTGAACTCCTTTCCCCCTCACTCCAGCCCCCCAGGGGATCCTGCATCAGTTCCCTGAGCATATCAAAGTCCACTTTTCTGAATTTCAGGGTCCTTACTCTGCTGCTCTCCTTCCTTCCTTCCCTAAGGATCCTAAACTCAATCATCTCGTGGTTGCTGCTGCCTAACTTACCATCCACGTTTAGGATTGGTGTTCCCCACCAATTCTTCCCTGTTCGTGAGCAGCAGGTCAAGAAAAGTATGGCCCCTAATTGGCCTCTCCCATACTTGCACCAGGAAGTTGTCCCCAACACTCTCCAAAAGCTTCCTGGATTGCCTGCACACTGCTGTATTGTCCTCCCAGAACATGTCAGGGTGATTGAAGTCCCCATAAGAATCAGAGCTTGTAATCAGGAAACTTCTGCTAGATGTTTGAAGAAAGCCTCATCCTCCTGGTCTGGTGGTTTATAGCAGGCAACAACATCACTCTTGTTGCTTTCCCCTCTGACCCTAACCCGGAGACTTTCAACAGGTCTACCTTCAGATTCATACTGGAGCTCTGAACAATCATACAGCTCTTTTACACAAAGTGCAGCTCCTCCTCTTCTCCCCTGCTTGTCCTTCCTAAACAGTTTATACCCATCCATGACAGTGCTTCAGTCATGCGAGCTCCCACCGAGTCTCTGTTATTCCAATCACATCATAGTTCCATGACTGTGCGAGGACTTCCAGTTCTTCCTGTTTGTTTCCTCGCCTCTGTGCATTCGTGTACAGACACCTAAAGTAACTAGCCAATTGCCCTACTTTCTCAGGAAGAACAAAAAGGCCTCCCCATTGCACCCTCCTGCTTCTGCTTCCTCCAGGTCCCCTGCTTCCCCACTAACCACAGGGCTTTGGCCACTTATATATAGCACAAACCTTTTTTTTTTCTTTACTTTATCAAGGCTATATCCATTCCAAATTCAATTGGGAAAAGCCCAATAGTCAAGTTCCAGAATTTGACTGAGCAGAATTCAGTCACCAAGTCTGTGTAGCACAACCACAAGACAATCATCCTCCCTCCAAGACCCATTAGTCTGGGGCTTTGGATACTCCCCAAAGCCAGGGAGGCATCCTATGTGCAAGCCCCTGGCCCAGAGGTCTTGGAGTTCAGATGTTCTCTATTTCGCTTGATCATGACCAGTCTAAAACAGACAGATGTACACACCTATTAAACTAGTTTAAACCTGCCTGCAATGGTTCAGAAGTGTACCTGGAAAATCAAGTACTCTTTTGAACCAGTTCACTGTAAACTAAGTCAATGTTACATAGACACACCAAGCAGGCCGAGACACACGTCTGGCAGGTCTTGCAGGCATCCCACCCTGCATCGCTCCCTACCCCCCAACTGCTGTAACCGGCTTCTCTGCACCTCATCTGCAAATAAAATTTTGGGGCATCCCAGGACTCATGACAAGAACATCCAGTTCCAGTCATGAGTGGGGGCTAATTAGCACATGGATCCTTTCTGGCTGGTATCTGGAGTACACACAAACTGAGCAGTGCTGAACTGTGGGTTCACCATGGATTGAAATGCTGTTGATTCTGGTGGGGCCCAGTCCAATGAACTATGTGGTATATACCAAACAAGCCTTTTGACTTTAAACTAATATCATCTATACTTACTTGGCAGGAAAGAGACTGAGGTGGTTTTTGGCCCAGGTGGTTTTGCTTACCTGGCAGGGGAGATACCCTTTTTCTTGGCTTTGAATGACTTGGTATAGTTAGAGGGTGAAGGCCTGTCCCTTGCACTTTGAGCAGGCTGACACCTGAGAGAGGCTAAAATTACTCCAAATGCAAGGATCTCAGCTACACAATTTATAGTGATAGGGGATTGCTCTCAGGCTTTCCTTCTAGCTTACCCCTTCAGCCTTTTTGCTAGGGGCAAGTGAGACTAGGAGGCATCTGAATTCCAAGGCCTCTGGGCTTGGGGTTTGCACAAAGGACACCTGCCATGCATTTGGGAGTTTCTGAAGCCCCAGGCTGAAGAGTCTGGGAAGTAGAATACATGCCGGTGGTACAGCCACACAGACTTGAACAATTGTGTTCTGCCCAGTCAATAGAATTTGGAACTGATTTGGCCTTACACTGTGTGTGTATATTATATTCTTTCACATAAACTTCAAAAGGATAAAAAGTAAAGTTTATACTATACATAAGTGAAGTGTGTTGGTGATGGGACATGATGGAAAAGTGTAGGTGTACATATATATATTTGCATTAAAGGAAAAAAGGTTGTACTATATGTAAGTAGGTACAAAAGTGCTTCTTGAAAGCATGTTTATAGCATAGCTGTGCTAAAACATTGCAGCCACTTCAAAAACAAGGCAACATGCATCAATTCTGGATGAACTAAGTGTATGGGTACTATAAGCAAATTGCTATGGGCATGTTTATTGTTTTCAGATTTGCTCCTCACATCTATAGGCTCAGGGAAAGAAGGGTCTAACAATAAGAAGAGAGGGAAGGGTCTGCTAAGGGAAAAAGTTAAGGGGAATCAGAAGGCAAAGAGGTTACCTGACCCCCCTCCCTGATTTATTTTCCCTCCTTTAGTATTGGGAGGGAAACAAAATCACACATAGAATTAGATAATTAGATTCTATACATGGAAAATTATAATAAATTTATAAATTTACCATATATAGAATCTAATTACTGGGGGGGGGGGTCATCTTATGATCAGGTTCATCTTCTATTTCAGTAAATACAGTACATACAACATTAAATAACCCTCCTTTGTTTCCTTTCTCAATTATCTTTACACTTTTATTAAGTGGAATCAAGAGTACAATGAAGAGCCATGAAGCTTAAACTGGGCTCAGATTCCATTTTGTGAAGAAATGACAATTATTGGTAATCATTTTCACATGTGGAGAAAATGTTGTTCTTTAAACATGAACATTTTGAAAGCACATAAAACTAGTGCATAAAAACAAATTCAAGGGATTATATTATATTCTTTCACATAAACAAAAATAGGAGAATCATAAAATAACCTTGAAGACAGAATTTTCCCTTTTTTTACTGAAAAAAAATGTTTGCAATGTATATTTATTATTACCAGCTGTTTATCATTTAGTCCAAAAATGATGTGCAGATAAGTTTCCGAAATCCTCTTTAATTCTAGCTTTAAGGATGGATCAATGCACATATCCCTGGGGAGGGAAGAACATTAACCAAGTAAATCACATTAGCAAAACTAAATGTATGGATTCTTATAACATTATATTCATCTCCTAAACAGCTTTCTCTTCTGCTATGTTAATCAACCACAGTTTTTAAATGATGCTGGATTATATGAGAAACAAATATAGGATCATAGGAATGTAGGGATGGAAAGGGTCATCTAGTCCAACCCCCTGCTCAAGGCAGGATCATTCCTCATGAAGTGTCTGTCTAACCCACTTTTGAAAGTTTCCAAGGATAGAGTCCATGATTCCAATGTTAATTAGCAACAGTTATTATTGAGCTAGGTAGGGACAGAATTGAATCCATTTCTAAAATTATATAAACTGCTAGAAAATATTCAAGATATAAGCATTTTCTTTTTCACTCTTAAGAAATAAGTATTAAAAGCTTTATCTTATGTGGGATTTTCAAAACATTATGTAATGTTTTCTGCCGTTGTATAAATAGCCTGTTGGCATGTACAGGGAGTGAAATTATTTTTTAAAAGAAGACCAGAACTAAATTAAAAAAAACAAAACCAAAAAAAAATGCTGAACACTGTTGCCTAATGTTTACAGGAGAAACACAGAAATAAACAAACAAAAACAAAAGAACCCTCAAAAAAGTACTTGCCAGAATGACAAAAACCAAGAAAAAGTGGGGAGGGTGTTCAACTTTTTAGGACAATTTTACATATGATACAAATTAATTAAAACAGATACAATTCTCACAGCACAAACTATAGCAATTACCTACCAGGGCAATTACTAGTCTGCAAAGTCCCACTGCACCAGGAAGAAGTTCAAGATGTGGCCTGGTATATAGACAGAGTGCGTAAATCTGTGTCATCTATTGAAATAGTGTAGCTGTTCTCAAAGTATGCCTAGCCCACTCCTGCAGTGTCCCTGGGCTACTGTAGAGGGAGGCAGGGACATGACCCCATTATCTCTATACCTTGAGCTATGATTTTGCCCTTCTAGGACTGCAGGTCCCTGACCCTATTTCTGCCTTTCTTCAGGCACTGGGAACCTGGCCCTGGTCTCTGCCTCTCCAGGCTATGGGTCCCTGACCCTATCTCTGTCCTTTTTGCTGGGCCCCCAGCCCTAGGCACTGCCCGCCTCTGGGTAACTTTGCAAGTGATGCCTGCTCCCCACAGCTTCCAGCCTAACGTGCTGCTCTGGCACCCTGGGACCTCCAAACCTCCTCTTGTTAGTCCCTACCCAGTCCTCCAGGAAACCACAACAAAATGATAAGCCCACAGGCCATAACACAAACTTTAAGCATGCTGGCTACTGAATCAAAACATTCTTCCTTGTGGGGCTTGGTTCCTTGAAAGCCTTCAGCCCTTTACCCACAGTCACCCTTGCAGTAGGGTTCCAGTTCACTCCATGTATAGCTTTTCCCCAGTTTGGAGCTACTTCCCTGGCTCTGTTTAAGGCCAACAACCACCTACCCCACTTCCATCCCTGGGTTAATATGTCTCCCAACCTGGCCCCTTCCAGTCAGGTGACTTCCCCAAGGTTGCCTGCCAGCTCTCCCTAACCGAGCTTGTTGGCTTAACTCCATGGCAGCTTCCTGTTGCTACCTTGGTTCCTCATTACCCCTAGCTAGGAATCACGTCAGTCCCAGCTGTCAGTCCTTTCCACAGCTCCTTAATTGACTACTTTCTCTCCACCAGGTGACAGCTCCCCCCCCGGGCTCAATTTATTCTGATTACAAGCTCTTTTGTCTTAGTGATTTGTTTATCTAGACAGCCACAATTTCGGCAGGCATGCATTCTTTGTGTAACAGGAGTCTTTCCCTCCCTGTTGCACCTTTTTTTTTTACTGACAATCTGCAAGCTTTTTATTGACACATTTTTACTGATATACATCATAGATAGTGTAAATGTAGCTCTTCTGCCAGGCCACAGATAGAAGGGCTGGGTTCAAATTTAGGAATTTCTAAACACCAACCATTGCAAAGAAGTAACAAAGTTTGGTTTTCAGTAAAAGGTCTTCAGTAAAAAAATAAAATTCATGGGTTGGCAACCCTGCTTGATTGCAGCAATGGTTTCACACTGTGCAGCTACCACCCCAGGGTTCTCCTACTTGTTCCCACACCCTGATGCCTCCAACTGCACCCCATATCATATGTCCCTCTCCAGCCTGCTCACCCCAACCTTACCCCTGCCAGTCCGACTCCCTGTCCTAACATGGACCCCCAAAGAAGCCTACCTGTAACACAGCAGTATTACAGGCGGCTTATGGGACCCAGCAGCACCAGCAGCGTATGGCTACAGGGGAGGGGTCTACAAAGCCTTTAGGAAAACTTCATGCAAGGTGCAGCACTCCCATTTAGACACCAGATGGTGTTGCTATGCTCTATCTATCAGCTTGCCTCCATCTTCTTTTTGACCATGGAAATTAAATCAAGCTCTAGGTGCTTAGTGTTTTTATGGATGGTTCATTTTTTTTATTATTTTTTTGGGGGGGATTTTATGGACAGGAGTCTGTTTTTTTTTAATGGAGCAGGAGCCAAAAAGCCTGATTTTTTTTTTTTTTTTTTTTTTTTTAT